CCATTTGTCTGTAAATTTCATGATGACATTTTTAGGAACTGTGTAATACTCTATTGTGTAAATGTACCAAATTTTCTTTAACCATTCTTCTATCAAGGGACATTTAGGTTGCTTCCAATTTCTGGCTATTATGAATAGAGCAGCAATGAACATGAATGAACAAGAGTTCCTGTGGTAAGATGGAGCGTTCTTTGGGTATATGCCCAAGAATGGTACAGCCAGTTCTTAAAGTAGATCAGCTCTCAACTCCCTGAAGAACTGACACGTTGATTTCTGTAGTGGCTACACAAGTTTGCACTCCTACCAGAAATGGATGACTGTTCCCCCTTGCTCCACATCCTTGCCAGCATGAGTATCACTTGTATTATTGACCTTAGACATTCTGACAGATACAAGGCAGGATCATAATGTAGTTTTGATTTGCATTTCCCTGAATGGCTAATGATGTTGAACATTTCTTTTATGTGTTTCTCAGCCATTTGAATTCCCTCTATTGATAATCCTCTTTAGAACTGTACCCAATTTTTAAATTGGGTTATTTGGTGTTTTGATATTAAGTTTATGTATTCTTTATATGCTTTTTATATTAGCCCACTATTGGATGTGGACTTGTAAAATTTTTTCCTTTTCTGTAGGCTGCCACTTTGTCTAAGACATTCTTTACTGTGCAAAAGTTTTTAGTATCATGAGGTCCCATTTATTAATTGTTGATATTGGTGCCTGCATTAATGGTATTGTGTTCAGAAAGCATTCTCCTGTGCCAATGAGATCAAGGCTATTCCCCACTTTCTCTTCTATCAGATTCATTGTACCAGGTTTTATGTTGAAGTCTTTGATCAACTTGGACTTGAGTTTTATGCAGGGTGATAAGTATGGAACTATTTACATTCTTCTATATGCAGTCATCCAGTTAGACCAGTACCATTTGCTGAAGATGCTTTCTTTTTCCAGTGTATATTGCTGGCTTATCAAAAATCATGTGTCCATAGGTATATGGGTTTATGTCTGGGTCTTCAATTTGGTTCCATTGATCAGCCTGTCTGTTTTTATGCCAATACCATGCTGTTTTATTATTAAAGCACTGTAATACAGTTTGAAATCAGGCATGGTAATACCTCCATCAGTTCTTTTATTATTCAGAATTATTTTAGATATCCTGGGTTATAGCAGGCTTTTTCTTTTGGGCCACCAACCAGCTCCCAAATCATGACACAGAGACTTAATATTAGTTATGAATGCTCAGCCTTAGCTGAGGCTCTTTTCTTGCTGGCTCTCATAACTTCACCTGTTTCTCTTCATTTTGACTCAGGACTTTTTACCTTTCTTTCTTTGTTTGTTTCTTTCTTTCTTCTGTATATCTTACTTTCCTGCTGTCTCCAAGGCTGGTGGCTGCCTGGCTTCTGGCCCCAGGTGTGTCTCCCTCATTCTCCCTTTTTCTCTCCTCCTTCTTCTCTTTTGAGCCTAGATTTCTCCTCCTACTTATTCTGTCTTCCCACCAACCCTGCCTATTCCTCTCCTGCCTAGCTATTGGCCTTTCAGTTTTTTATTAGACTAATCAGGTGCCTTAGGCAGGAAAGAGAAAACAAATGCAGTACATCTTTACATAATTCAACAAATGCAGCACAAACAAATGTAACACATCTTTATGTCACTAACTAAGACAGCAAAAACAAATGTGACACACTTTAACATAGTTGAAGCAATATTCCACAGCATAAACAAATGTAACACATCTTTGCCTAGTCAAAATAATATTCCACAACACTTGATTTTTTTGTGTTTCCATAACAAGTTGATAATTGTCCATTCAAGGTCTATGAAGAATTGGGTTAGAATTTTGATGGAGATTGCATTAAATCTGTAGATTGCTTTTGATAAGATGACCATTTTCACTATATTAATCCTACTGATCCATGAACATTAGAGATCTTGTCATCTTCTGATATCTTTTTCACTTTCTTCAAAGACTTGAGGTTTTTATCATACAAGTCTTTCACTTCTTTGTACATATGTACCCCAAAGATCACATTGTTTGAAGCTTTTGTGAAATGCATTGCTTACCTTACTTCTTTCTCAGTCTGTTTGTAATTTGTCTATAGGAGGGCTACTGATTTTTGTGAGTTAATTTTGTAGCCAGCTACTCTGCTGAAGGTGTTTATCAGCTGTAGGAGTTTCCCAGTGGAATTTTTGGGGTCACTTATGCATACTATAATTATCATCCACAAATATTGATTCATTGACTTCTTTTTTCTAATTTGATACCAAATTTTTACTTTCTCTATATTTTATAATTTTCTCTATATATTTTATACTAATCACAAACAGATCATTCACCATTTAACCCTTACTCAATGTATTTGTATCAGCTGGAAATCAGCTTAGATAACAACATTAAGTTTCAACAATTATAACTAACTGCTATATATCACAGGTAAAATGAGGGAAACAGACAGAATGCAAAATTGTCACTATGTCATCCAATCCATAACATTTTTCTATATTTCTAACTGCAAGAATATTTTTCCAGGCTATGTAGATGGTTCAGTGAATAAAATTTTTACAATGTAAATATGAGGATTGGAGTCCAAATGCTCAACATTTATGTAAAAAGCTGAGGAGATGTTGAGACCACCTATAACACCACCACTCAATGATCTAGAGAGTGAGCTGCCTACCTAGATTAGCTGATGAATAAGCTTTATGTTCAGTTGAGAGACTCTGCATCAGAAAATAAAGTATAAAGCAATGGAGAAAGAAACACAATGTCAACTTGTGCATGCATATACATGTAAACTATGTACATGCCAACACAAATGAATAAACACATACCCATGTACAACACAAACTCACACACAAAAATAAAACACATTTTTCCTGGGCTGTGGATCACACATAGATTCTGATAAATGCTAACTACAGACTCCTCTACTAAACCACTAAACCCTAAAAAAAACGGGTTTAAGAAATTTGAATTTTGAAACAGAGGAAGAAAATGTTTAACTCTCCTTTGTGTCTTAACAGGAATAAAATTAAATCCTTATTTCAGGCCTCCTCTCAAGACTAAGTGAAGAAGATTAAAAGAGGCATAGAGATGTAGACAGATGCAATCATATCCCAGATTGGGATCAAGGAGATATCTATGCTGAGTTATCGTGTGTCTATCTGTGAACTTGGTCTGCGGTCTATAGCCATTTATCCTATAGCTGATGCACCCACTGATGCCTGAAGTACATACCAGACTCCTACTTGAGAAGAGTACAGTGATCAAGCTAAATCTTCCTGAAGTATCAGGTAACTGAAGTGGCTGGTTTGTTAAAACCATCTGTGGGGAGGGGGGGACCAGTAAAGATTGTAACTAAGTGTGACAACCTAAGTTCAATCCATGGAACCCACATCACTAGAGGAGAATACTGACCCCTTCAAGTTGTTCTGTGACTTCCCTGTGGCATGTGTGTTACATACACACAACAAATAAACAAACAATCTGCCAGAATCCTCTTGGCAAGGTGTTCTGTATTCTGACATCTCTTTGTTCTTGTTATTGATGTTGTTGTGGTTTTAGTTTGGGATTGGTTTGTTTTGGTTTGGCTTTTGAGATGGAGACTGACCATATAGCCTTGGCTGGCCTAGCACTCACAGAGATTCACTGGCCTCTGCTCTAAATATTAGGATGAAAAGTTTGCACAACCACACCTGCCTGTATTATGAAATTGTTTCATCCATTCCTACTGAAACACCTAGAGTAGGTTATAATAAAAATGATGTGTAAAATAACAAAAAATGGCATATTATAGCTTTGAGAAGACTGTACACGCAAAATGAACACAGAACATGTGGCTCAGAGTATAGGGAGTCTTTTATCTTGAATGCTTTCAGATTTGGGATTTAGTTCAGTTTCAGAGTGCTTGCCCAGGTTCAGTCTCCAGAGCTAAAACCAAAATGATCAATCTTTCATGATGTTGCAATTACAAACATTCCTTTTATCTTTAACATTGCTTCCATGGTCCTTTGAAGTTCCTAGGAAATACTCTAAAGGGACACATTTTTTTTTGCTAGCATGTGGAGAGCATCTGTGGTAAGTAGAACTAGTGTGAGAGGATTGAATGAAATTTCCAGGATTCCCACCTTAACGGAGAATATAATTATGCTCTTCCTAGTTGAAATTTTGCAAGTCAATATCCTGCCAACTAGCTATACAAATGATCATATTTGTCCCATTGCTAATAAAACATGTTTTCCTGGAAGTCCCTCCTCTATGTACCATCCTTTCAACACCCATGAGTTGAACTGCTTATGTGTGGAATCATGACCAAGGATGCCAGGAATAATGTTCTTTACTTACCAGGAGCTCAGGCTCCATCCTCAGGAGTGATAGTGATGCAGTGTCTCATAAATGCTCCAATTCAGACAACCATGGTGCCCTGTGGGTTGGAACTAGTAAACTGAAAGCTGGAAGGAAAGGATTATTGTTCACAACTATATGACCTTGTAGTTACTCAGTTTAATCCAAGTTTTCTCAATTTCTAGTGAATTCCTGGTAATAATGGCAAAAGAAGAAAAACAGAAAATGAATGTTTATGAAAATTTAGGGCTCCTCTCACCTCATGAGTAACTCATGTATAGTATTCATTTCTTCCATGCTTTTTCTGATGCCTCAGTGGTCTCTATTGTCATTGTTTGTAATGGCAAACATTAGTCAGATGGAAAAATAAGCATTTTAAGTATCGCTGTGTCTACTTCATTGGTAATAGTTACATTCACATTGTTATGTAACATTACCATCTCCAGTACATTTTTGACTTCACTAATTGAAAAATTTGTATACATTTTTAAACTCTCCTTCCTCCCTCTCCACAACTTTGCTAACTACTATTCTATTATGAAATGAAAGAAGGGATTAAAATCATCAAAACCTAAAGTGAATGTAACTCAGAATTAGGATGCATGAGTCTAGAAGTTTTGCTCTGCTGCATTTACCAACCCACATTCCAAATGGGTGCCACAGGCCATGAAATTACACTATTCTGCTGTGGAGTCTTTTCACTGCTCTTTTAATGTCCTTGTTCCTCAGGCTGTAAATGAAAGGATTCAGCATAGGTGTGACCACAGTGTACATCAGTGAGGCCACCGCAATATTTCTTGGAGAATGTGATACAGCTGAACCAAGGTATACGCCAATGGCTGTTCCATAAAATAAACAAATGACTGACAGATGAGAACCACAAGTGGAGAAGGCTTTATACCTCCCTCCTGATGATGGTATTCTCAGAATGGAGAAAACAATTTTATAGTAAGAAAAGAAAATTCCAGAGATAGGAAGCAAACCAGATATGGCACCAACAAAATACATGACTATGTTATTAATCAATGTGTCAAAGCAGGCAAGATTAAGGAGTTGTGCAGGGTCACAGAAGAAATTGGAAATTGCTACATCTTTGAAGTATATGATTTGTAAGGCAATGAGGTTGTGTGCCTGAGAATCCACAAGACTGACAAAAAGAGACAGGAAAACTAAAAAGCCACAGAGGCGAGGACTCATGATGAGTGAGTAATGCAGAGGGTGACAGACAGCCACAAACCTATCATAGGCCATCACGGTCAGAAGCATGCCATCCATACATCCAAAAAGGATCAAAAATGACATCTGTGTAAGGCAGCCCACATAGACGATTTCTTTGCTGTTAGTTTGGATGTTCACAATCATCTTTGGGACTGTGGTGGAGATAAAACAGATGTCAGCTAAGGACAGGTTGCAGAGGAAGAAATACATGGGGGTGTGGAGGCGGGAATCACAGCTGACAGCCAGGATGATGAGCAGGTTCCCAAGCACTGTGACCAGATACATGGACAGGAACAGTCCAAAGATGGTGGGCTGCAGTTCTGGATCATCAGAGAATCTCATGAGATGGAATTCTGAGACATGTGTTAGGTTTTGTAGTTCTATATTGTTTGGACAGCTTTTAAAAATTAAAAGGTGGTTAGAAAAAAATTATAGAAGTTTATCATCACTCAACACTGTGTCTGTAGTTAGGATTAAAACAACTCCTTTGTGAAATGATCAAGTGACTATACATCTTTGGCAATGTTTCTGATTTTCTACAGTTTCACTATTCTTTAACTTACTTTCGTTGACAATTTCATACATGTATACAGTATATTATGATTATATTCTCCCATTACCCTTATCAATCCATCTCTAGCCCATGATGATATCCTTCTTATATCAACTAGTCCCCTTCTACTTTCATTCCTTTTGTGTAGGCCTTGTGCAGGTGGTCACAGTTGCTACACATTCATGCATGCAATGACCACGCCATGTCCAGAAGACAGCATTTCATAGCGCTCCTCCCCATCCTCCAGTTTTATATTCTTTCCGCCTGCTCTTATGTGATACTCCCTGAGTCGTGGAGAGTGTGACACAGATGTCCTGCTTGGGACTGAGCACTCAACGGTCTTTTCAGCACTTGAACTCTGTGACTCTGAATTAACTGTCACCAACTGAAAAAAGAAGTCTCTCTGACCAAGGCTGCAAGTCATCAGAGCAGAATATTTTCATGCTGTTACCCTGCCCTCCATCCCAACAGCCATCTCTTGATGACAAAGAAGCAGTGTTCCTGACAGTCCCTCTACCCTCCCACCATCTCCATTAGTACTTACTGGACTAGAATGTGTCTCTGCAGGGGCATTACCAACTTCTCCTTTCCACATAATATTCACCAAAGCCACAGGCTATATGCTTGAACAAGACGGGCTCAAGTTAATGAAGGTGTCCAAAGGAGGTAAGAAACATTAATTGAAGCTTGCAAAGCACAAGTCTGAAGGTACTGGGTAATTACTTCAATTGTGTGACCTTGGGGGCTCAATGCACACAGCTCCTAATTAGCCTATTGGTCCACATTATCCCTTGCTTTGGGGACTTGTTGCTATTAACAGTAAAGGGAAAAGAGAAAATGTGCTTGGAAATTTCAGGAAAGGCTTGCCCACAGACCTTCCTAGCTTTTGTTAATAGAATATTTGTGTAAAACTAAGATTACAGTTTTTTAGTTTACTTTTCAAGACAGGGTTACATTGTGTAGCCCTGGCTGTCCTGGAACTCTCTATGTATAATGGGCTGGCCTCAAACTCATAGAGATCTGCCTGCCTCTGAGTCCCAAATAATGGTATTAAAGGTGTGCACCACTATGCCCCACAAGACTACTGTTTTTAATTCAGCTTGGGGGTTTGGGCATCTGCCGCCGATACATTCTATTGCTTAGGAAATCCGAACAGAAGCATATCATCCATACTAATAACCACGTACTATTTCCATTTCTCACTTTTTGTCACTAAAGAGAAAGTCTTGTTTCCATTACCTTTCCCTTTATTCATGCTAGTATTTTTTCCAACATATTTCCATTGATTATTTGGGAATTTCATATCTTGGACCCCAATAACACTCACTTCCCAGTCTGACCCTCCACCCCTGTGACCACCCCCTCCAAAAAAAGAAGAAAGTCCAATTTGGGTTGCCCATATACTCACTGGAGCATGGTCAAACTCCCAGTGGCCAGACAGTTAAAGAAAATTGCTTCCTTCCCCAACTGCACTCTTGCCAGAAGCCATCAATTGTGAAGAGCTACACTGCAACATCCTTATCACAATTTTTAAGAGTTCTCTTTGATGGCTTTCTGTCTAGACTGTTTCTTTTGGGGTGGGGAGCAGTTGCCACAGAAGCCTTCTATGTCCCTCTTTCCCAACTATGAGTCTGCAATCATCGATACCACTGCAAAAGTAGCCTCCTTACCATTTACAATCAGTGGAAGCATGGATCATGGACTTCCACAGACCCTAATATGGCATTTGGTGGCAGCATGGACCACAGACCATGGCCACAGTAGGACCATGGGTTAAGACCTTCATGTTAGTATTTTATGTATGAGAGAAATATGCATTTTTACTAATTGGATTGAGTCTTCAGTTCTAGCATTTCCTCTCAATGGAATTATATAGGACAAAACTTTTGATGTTTGTATATTTATTTTATAACATAAAAAGGCAACAGGAAGCAAGCTGTTTTCCCTTTTTCAGATAAATCACAATAATTAAATATATGACATACTATGTTTTTATATATGTTATATTATATAATGTTCAAATTGAGATGAGTATGTCCATTTGCTTAATTTGATCATCAAAATCCATTCTTCTGGCTTTTAAATAAACACACACATTATATACACACACATTTGAATCAACATTTCTAACATCTCCTTCTCCCTCCTGCCTACTTTTCAAGGCATTTTTAATCATAACTTCTGTGAGATCAACTTCTTGCCTCCCATGCATGAATTATATCACAGTATAAATGTCTTCGTTTTGGTTTCTTGTACTTCCAGTTTTATACATGTTCTCTCAAACAGCAAAATGGTGGTAAGCACCCCATCCTCTGTATGCCCCATATTTCCCATTTCCCATTGTATGTCCTTTCCCACTCATCAACAGGATCATGGGGTGTTTCCATTTCCTAACTCTTCTAAATAGTTTTACAATCAAAATGAAAATGTAAGGCCATCCAGGAGACTCAGTAGATAAAGGAATCTGATGCCAACTCTGAAAACTTGAATTTCAGCCCTGGAATTAATAGGGTAGAAGGAGAGAACTGCCTTATAAAAACTATCTGCTGACCTACACACACACAGTGTGGAACAAATAGGCACAAAACACATATTCCTACATGTGCACATATGTGGTATTGTATTCCCCCAAATATTGTGCATGCTAATAAACTTATCTGGGGTCAGAGACAGAGCAGCCACAATATTAAACATACAGGATAGGCAGTGGTGGCACACACCTTTAATCCTAGCATTCCAGAGGCAGAAATCCATGTGTTCAAGGATACAGGCAGGCATGGTGACTCATCATGCCTTTAATCCCAAAAAGCAATCCTTTAATCCCAGGCAGTGATGGTAGAAAGCAGGAAGGTATGTAAGGCATGAGGACCAGAAACTAGAAGCATTTGGCTGGTTAAGCATTCAGGCTTTTGAGCAGCAATTCAGCTGAGACCCATTCTGGATGAGGACTCAGAAGCCTCCAGTCTGAGGAAACAAGACCAGCTGAGGATCTGGCTAGGTGAGGTAGCTGTGGCTTGTTCTGGCACTCTGATCTTCGTGTTTACCCCAATAACTGGCTTCAGGTTTGATTTTATTAATAAGAACTTTTAAGATTCATGCTACATCTGGCGCCCAACGTTTGTGGTACAAATTCATGAAAAAGCCGCTTGCCTGTGGCCCCAGCTACACTCAGCTGGTTGTGGTGGTGCACACTGGTTGGATTTGCTGAAGGAGGCAGAGGCAGGAGGATCCCGAGTTTGAGGCCAGCATAGGAGGTTTGGGAGAAGCTTCAACCCGGACTGAGCCACAAACAGTGGTGGGACCATGGAAGCAGTGGCTGCTGCTTCACGTTGCCAGCTCCTTCTCATTGTGTTGGTGACTGTGGTGATGCTGCTACCTGGGAAAAGGGTTTACTGCCGCTTGTTCAGAGAAGAATTGCCAGGACCATCATGTTACAAGAAAGCATTGGCCAAGGTCAGTTTGAAAAAATTTGGCAAGACAAATGGTGGGGAGAAATTGCTGTGAAGATTTTCTCTTCTAGGGAAGAATGTTCATGGTTTCCAGAGACAGACATTTATCAGACTGTGATTACTTTAAACCACAGAGGAGGCAAAAAAAAAAAAAAGTCTGCAGGGAACCATGACCACGCCTAACAGTGACTTTGAAATCTTCAAAAGGATGGTGGGATCTTACAACGATGATTCCACATGGATTATGATAAAGCCTAGGCTGATTAACACCACGGAAAAATCGACTTTGGACTACAAACTGGTCAGGACAATTTCGAGATGACTAGCTGAGATGATTCAGCCTGACAGACTACTTGAGCAAGGACTTGTGACAAGCCCTGAACTTTCCTATTATGCAGAGACTGGACAAAT